GGATGATTAAACATTGATTGAATAAAGTAAACGTGTTTAAAAGACAATGATCAGTTTAATTAATGAGCTAATGGTTGGTTAATGTGTGACTTTCTGACACMAAGTGTTACTTTAACAGGTTGTAACCTACTGTAAAACATGAAGGTGGTTTTGTGTATCTGCTGCACAATACAAACATTTAACACATAAAATATGACTTCTTCATGAGAAAACATTGTTTTGATTCAGTGGTTGCCTGCACTACATGAACATTTTGTTGTTTTTCATGTGTAGTTAAAGTTTGGAGCAGATTCAATGAATAATTGAATAATTGTGTCATTGTGTATTTTAAACAAATGCCTCTCAGACAACAGAAAACCTTCCTCTTCTGTTTATTGATGCAAATGTTTCAGAAATCAACTAAATACTATTTTCATCCAAAACAGCTGTTTATGTTTAAGGCTGTTTGTTACGTATCTATGACGACACTGCATTAACTTAGCAGAGCAACCAACTTATTCTAACACCAAACTGACATTTATAATAAACCAAGCATCCTTAAAGCTGTTTAATACAGACTGTGGCCTTTGATCYGACGACATTTACGTCTTAAATTACTGATAAAATGGTTTATTTTTTATCTTCATTAAGATGCAACTCAACACTTTCATTACATCTACTTCTTTAACTCTTTTTCTACAATAATGAGAAATAATGTAAAATAATGACATGGTTCTAATCTCGTAGATTTTGGGGGTTTTATTGAGTAAGAACGACTCTAAAAACAGATGTTTCAGATTATAAACATTGCAGACCCCTGCAGTAACAAAAAGGATTTAACTACTAATCTATGTGCAGTTTAACTTCTTCATGTAAATCTGACTATTTAAAAAATAATAAAAGAAGAAAGACTAAATGATGATSTTATAAACAGAGGAGCAATAGAATAAAACAGAATTTGTTCTGTTTGCTGTAAAAGAGTCATTTTGACATGAAAAAACATAGAAACATTTAACAAAACCTGACTTTGGTTTGTATTTTTTATCTGTTCATTTCAGTGAAAAGCTCCAAGTAAACTGAGCTGATGTTGGTTTAAATAACTGTTGGTTCAAACTGAGCAGTAAGAGATGTTGGAGCGCCCTCCGGAGGAAATATGTGGAGGAACAGTTTTCTGTAGAGAAGCTCGCAGACTGAATGAACCCAAACTGTTYTATGTTCTGTCTGTTGAATTTTATTAAAAACAAACATTTATTTTTATCGGCTGCATCAGGAAACACTTAGTTCCATACTTTGTTATAAATGTTAACAAAAGGCTGAATCTTTGAGAATCATTTAGCTTTAAAATAAACCTTTAAAGAAAAGTTTGAAGAGATTTGTGTCTTTCCTCCTCTACAGTTTTATTTATYTTTATTATATCTGATGGATTTTAGCAGGTCTAAGCAGACAGCAGTGATGTCATCAATGCTAACAGAACCACCTGGTGTTACTTTAACCATTTATAACCTTTACAATACAGAGTTAAACAAAATAACCCATGCAACATTTGACCCATAGATGTATGTTAACGGACTGGATGTGACATGTTTGAGATGTTTCCAGGCTGAGTCATTTCTACCTTCTCCTCTCTGTCAACGCTCTCTGGTTTCATTTAAAAGAGTCGATCATCAGATATTGTCCAAGATTAACCTTCAGGGTGGATATAGCTCGCTAGCAGCCTCGCACCGAGGACCTATCCACGTCATCATTTACCCAGAATGCTTTGTGTGGAAATAAAATGGCTCCGTCTGTGTTAAAATATATGTTTAAACTTTTAGTTTAAAAATGATAAAAACTAAACATCCTACAGTATTTTTACAGTATTTATTTTACAGTTAAACTATATGTTTATTAAATAAAGTCTAATGTTACAACTAATCGTGGATCCCTTTAAACAAAACGTTTGCAGTAGGACTGATCGTATGATCTCTGTTTGCAGATGACACTGTGATGTGCAGGTGGAGGAGAGCTCAGAGAGGTGCAGGTGATTCAGTGGAACATTTGGACAGAAGGTTTCATGGATGAGGTGAAGATCTGCAGCTGAGGACATTAAAGATGGAGTCTGATGRAACACATGATGTCATGTGGCGACCCTTAAAGACAAACTGAAAAACCAAGAAAAAGACTTTCTGAAGAAAGAAAAACTAAACATCTTGTGTAAATACCATCTGGATTTAAYTTGTCACACTGTTCCAACCTTTTTTTTAAAGTGTACTTAATTAATCTAAAAGAAAATGTTTAAAATAACTTCCTAATGAAAAGTGTGCAACTGTTGATATGACTAAAAATACACTGGTGTTGTAATGAGCACAAGAACATCATGATACACAGTACCACAACAGTCAGGTCTGCCTAAATCCTTTCATCCTACGTTAGTGATTAACCTGGAAGCACAAAGGAGATAATTTACAAACTGAACCACAGGAAGAAGTCTGCTGTCTGTAGAAAAACAAGTCAGTTTGTATTATTTCATTTTAAAATCCTCAAAGTATGAAGACGACTGCAAGAGTAGAAAAATATCACACCCATTCAGAGTCTCCTCCTTCCAGAGACACACGTTGAAAAACACAGGTCAGATATTGCACCATCATTAAAAAGACAACAGCWTTGTCATTTACAACACAATTATTAAGGTGTAATATACACAACCCAGTGGCTGAGCTGTTGACAATGCATGCCATGTCAGCAAACTACAAACGCATTAGACTACAACACTTAAATAGTTTGCATACACTTGTATATTGTATGTACAGTGCATATGTATTTACACACTTAGCATCACTTATACAAATATACCCTGTAATGAGAGCACTCCTAAAGAAACTGAAAACAGGAAACGTTGTGTTCTGATGACATGCAAAGTGAAGAAAAGCTGCATCATGTAATGCAGGTTGAAAGTCAACCGCTTCATTCCATATTAAACACATATCTAACTGTTTTAGTCTTAAATACTGTCAAATAATCAACAGGTAGAAAACTGAGGTGAAATGTTAGTTTTATATGTTGATATGAGAGTTTGTGCTTGCAGAAAGCTAGGAGTGAAAAGTGCGTTTCAGCTTAATAATAAAAAAAACACCAGATCTATTCCACATGATGTGGCTGGCACCTTAGAGCAGCTCTTCTCTGTCTAAACCAAAGTTTTCCTAAAGATAAATGAAATAAAAACAGTTTACTGAAGGCTCTGTTCTAATTCATCTGAGGATCAGTTCCTCCTGCTGTCCTCGCTGCGCGTTAACAAGGCTAGTGCTAACAAAGCTAGTGCTAACAAGGCTAGTGCTAACAAGGCTAGTGCTAACAAGGCTAGTGCTAACAANGCTAGTGCTAACAAGGCTAGTGCTAACAAGGCTAGTGCTAACAAAGCTAGTGAGTTAAAGTCATGGCTGTCTCCTGGGGAGCCAGGCCACCCACAAACACCACCTAACAACCCCACCCAGCCCCTCTTCGTCCCCCCTCTTTAATCAGGTGGGGGCCATAAGGACCCCACAGAGACAGCAGGAGGCTTAAACATTTATTTTGGTTCATACGRTGTCTTGAAAAAGTCTCTCCACATTGTGTCTCAATCACAAACCTCCAAGTATTTCACTGGGATTTGATCYGATACAAACATTAAAAGTAACATAAATGTGAAGTGGAACAAAATTTATAGTTTGCAAAATTGTGCAAATAAAAATCTGAAAAGGGTGGTGTGCATTTGTAAAGTTACACAGTGAAAAATTACCACCAATATTTTTGTTTTATTTAACCTTTTATAAGAAAAAAAGAACAGATTTATTTTTAAAGTCAGTTTTTCACCATATGATTCATACATTTATAAATGTCATAGTTTATAAACTAAACATTTAACTTACAAATTAAATATTTAATTAACAAACTAAATATTTAACTTGAGACTTAAATATTTACCGTATTTTTCGGACTATAAGCCGCGACTTTTTTCCTGAACTTTGAACCATGCGGTTTATAGTCC